AGCAGTTCTCCAAATATTTTATCATCTCAAGTTAAATCACTATAAAAATTCTAAATAAGAACTACCAAGAGTRTACTAATTTTGAATTTTGAAGCCAGCACCACACCTATGGCTTATCCCTTCCTTTTTAGGCCGAGTGTATTCTAAAACCTGTTCGTCTGAAATAATTAACGTTTTCTACTTCCATGTACTTCTGTTGGTATTATTTTCTAGTGCTATTTACATTTATAATAATAATGATAATAATGATAATAATGATAATAATGATAATAATGATAATAATGATAATAATAATAATAAACTATTTATTTATTATATTGCTTACTTAGTAAATGCTACCCTGGGAAAAAAACATACTGAGAAGTGAAATGGCAGAAATACGAAGCATTTCTCTTTATTCATGATTATTTTAGAAATATCAACATTTTAATAAGCAAAATCCAACACACTATTTCTGTGTGGTTTTATGCTYCTTATTCCACAGAAACCAAGTGTTTTTGAGAATGAAGTCATAGGAAAAAAAATGCAAAACCTAAAGAAATGTAGTTGTCTTTAATTATTTCAACACTCCTACAATTCTAGGACAAAAAATTCTAGAAAATACTTTTTTTTTTCCCCAGACACAATTTGAAATTCCATTTAAAATAAATAAACAAGTTTAAGTAGGTCATTTCTTCTTAAAACTTCCTAAGTTTTCAATCAGAGTTCTTCCTTTAAATACATTTTAAAACTTCCAAAGTTTTCAATCAGACTTCTTCCATTAGATAAATTTTATCTGTTTACTTGAATAATAAAGATTAGTTTACTACCTAACCTAACACCATAAGTGACATTCAAAACGCTTTTTCAAAGCATTTAAACGCAAAATGCTTGGAAAAACCAAAAATATTTATTTCTTGAATATAAGCTGAAGCTATAGAGTTCGGTTTCCACAAAATACCATTTCTTAAAACGAAAATACCTGAAAAGCTAACGTGAATATATTAATTGACATTGAAAAATACTGTCTGTGGACAAGTGATTCAGCAGTCTCTAAATGCACTCAYACTGTCACTTCTGAAGGAAAGAGGGCATTAATTTGCTTTTCAAAAAAAAAATTACTGCAGTTAGAATATGATTTTATGAACTATTTTTTGGCCCTACCTAATTAAAGCAAAGCAATCAATGATCCAAAAAGATATTTGAGAGAGCTCCAGCCCTTGAACAACAGTACAAGTCAAAAAAAAACCTTTTCAGTCAGTGAGTAATGGAGATGTTTGAYCCAGAACACAAGTTGAACATAAAATAAACCACTGGACCACATCCAGCTAATGTGTGTGTACAAAAATCTACTACAGATCCAACAGTCTGCACCTAAGGTGGTAAATAAACAGTTAGAGTACATAACTGGCCTTTAAATTATGGGTGTTTTTTTTTTTTCATTTCTGTACCTCTAGTTCTTTTTAACTTGTATACAAAATATCTTTTAAAATTTAACTTCAATCTTTAGTAAGAACAGTACCTTGCACCAAGACTCCCTTATGCTAATTGCATGAAATGCTAAGTGTTGTAAGTCATTTCCTTTCACTTTTTTGAAAAACTTGTTTCCTTGTGTCATGAAGGGAAAACGGTTCATGAAATGATCTGGGATGAGCCCACAAATTTGAATTCAACATCTTCTTTAAGTCACCTGAGCAAACACAGCTCTGTGTCTGTATCTATCATTGAAAGGCAGCTGGGACTCTGGTCAAACAGCACTTCAGATGGGAAATGGACTGTGAAAATGGACTTCAAATAGCAAGATCTTGGGATTTAAGAAGAGACAATTTACTTTACAATGTGTGTGCACATGTCCTCTCAATCTTTCCTAGTGCTCCCAGTATCTCTTACTCAAGATGCCTTCTACGTCTTTCCTAAAATTTACCACTTTTTATATCAGAGAACCTTATTTTTACTGCTGGATYTCTCCCCCCACCAGTCTAAGGGGCTAAACCCACAACACCTTTTTCTGTGTTCCAAAGAGAAGGGTTAGAGGAAATTGTGACTGCTTCCAATTCCAATTCTATCATCAACCTGCACATGTAAAATACTACCTTTTAAACACGAAATATGACCTTAAGTGCCATCTTCTAATTATTTAGTCACTTCATTTCTTTCACCAGAATTGTTTTTGTTCAGCCTTTTCCTCAACAAATCCTACTGATCATCTGATATGCAACATGGTCAGAAATTATCTAAGTTACATGAGATACATATAGCTGTGTTTAAYCCATATATAGTCATATTTAATCCATGTAGGGTCATTTTTAATCCACAGCTTCACTACAACATCCAACACTGTTCATTTTTCCTTTCAAGCTTGGGCAGTGATCACAGAAGGTACATTTATATCTATGATCACCTGTGACCACAGTAAAATTATTGCAGACTAAAGAAATAAACCTACAAGAATCTGAATGATGTAAGGTAACTTTTGAGACCTGTCTTGACTTTGTACACTCATGTATTTTATATTAATCCCTCTCAATTTCCTCAAGATTGTCTCTGGAAGACTGCATAAAGCAATGCTTCAGCAGCTCTAAATTCTGGCAGCCCTCTTTACAATTCTTTCTGCTAATTTGTAAAAGGTAGATACTGCATAGAGATGTTAGAACTCCCAGCTCTTCCAGCAGACAACAAAACTTTGAAAACCAGGCTACATATAAAGATTTCAAACTTAYAGCACTTCAACTTTTGCCAAGATTACGTAATAAAAGACTTCATTACTTAAATACTTGCAGAGATTTATTGATCTAGCACACATGATGATGTCAACCTCACTGCATTTGCTAATTCTTTGTCTCACACCTGAAAAAATGTCAGTGAAACTTATAAATACAAGGTGACTTTTTATTCCGTATCACTGTGAAACCAAAGCATCAAAACCATACAGAATTCTGCCTGCCAAGCACTTCATATGGAACACTATGAACAAAATAATTGTTTTTTTAAAAGATATTTCCAAATTTACTGGGAAGCTGACCTAAAGAAATCCAGTATTTTCTTGCTTAAGTTCTGGTAATAAGAACAGTAAAATATCAAAACCTACCTGAATGTGAAATAAATTAGACTCATCTATTACTCACTCTTAAAGAAATTATCCTCACTTCTAACTTTTAGAAACAAGCTCTGGGTTAATGTAATACTAATGAAAGTTCAGCCACAACATGAAATACAATTTAATACCTAAACCTTAGGTGCAGCCTTCAGACAAGGTTTACTCAAGCTTTGGACTCTCCATGCAGCAGCCTTTAAAACTCATCATGCCCTGATAAATTTCATCTGCTTTTTTTACTATTATTTTATAGCACTGCAGATTCTGGTGAGAGACCAATGCATTTTTGCTGAGGATTCAAAAGAAAACAT